AACGCGTCTTCAGAAGGCTACAATTGTTACACAGTGTGGGTGGAGATGCAGAGTTGCTAGAAGAGAGCTCAGAAATCTGAAAATGGTAGATCTTGTTAGAGATATCATCATATGTATGAGATATAATCACGAGGAGGAACATTGTGCTAAATTTTCTTGTGAATGCGATCAGGCTGCTAGAGAGACAGGAGCTCTTAAGGAAGCAAAGGATAAGTTGGAAAAGCGTGTTGAGGAACTCACTTGGCGCCTGCAATTGGAAAAACGACTAAGGGTAGTTATATTGCATCCTGGCCTGCTTGTATTCAGATTAATGCTTAACTGTGCTCTTGCATAAAGAAAAAGGCTTTAACTGTTCCTTGATCTCCATTTCTGACCTGGCTGATTATTTTTGCTCAAACACAGACCGATCTGGAGGAGTCTAAAACCCAAGAAGTTGCCAAGCTTCAAAAAGCATTGAATGCTATGCAATCACAAGTAGAAGAGGCCAAGGCTTTAGTTGTTAAGGAACGGGAGGCAGCACAAAAAGCTATTCGAGAAGCACCTCCAGCTATTAAGGAAACTCCTGTTGTAGTTGAAGACACAGAGAAAGTTCGCTCTTTTACTGCTAGAGTTGAAATGTTGGAGGTATGTGTCCATTTCTACATTAAGTCTCCGTGCTTTGAGGATAAGGATCACTTTCAGGACATTGGGAACTACAGTAAAATTGTCTAGGTTTACTAGCTCAAACGAAAAACCTTGTGTTGACAGAAATTTAATTTCATTAGGGTTTACTGAACTCTCAAAGACAAGCAGCAGAAGAGGCCAAACAAGCTTGTGTTGTTGCTGAGTCTCAGAAGGAGCAGCTTAGTAAGAAGCTTGAAGACTCAGAAAAGAAGGTGGATCAACTTCAAGATTCAGTTCAGAGGTTTGTGACACTTGCTCATTTCTTGTCTAGTCCTTTCTTGGTGTACTCTATGTGTTATGTCGTAATTGATATGTTGATGAATGCGTATCATCAATTTCATCCTCATCCTAATCATTCACTGCAGTCTTGAAGAGAAGGTATCCAACTTAGAATCAGAGAATCAAGTTCTCCGTCAACAAGCACTTGCTATATCACCAACTGCAAAAGCCTTAGCCCTTAGACCAAAGACAACAATTATACAGGTATAGTATAAATTCCATTCATTTGATCAACACTTGCGATAACTACATGGACTTGTGCTGATTTTTCTCTCCTTTTTGCAGAGAACCCAGAGAACGGAAGTATTCCTCACTCAGAAGCAAGGAGAACTCCGCTAAGAGTAATATTACACATTCTTGGCGTGACATACTTTTTCCCTATGCATCGTTATATAGCAACTTGAAGTTGTTCTTCTCTGTATTATCCAAACCTTGCAGGACCCAATGCTGGCTTTGCCTAGTACAACGGAGTCTGAAAACGAGGACAAACCCCAGAGATCTCTAAATGAAAAGCAGCAGGTAGGCTTTTAGAAATAAGTGGAAATAAATGCATATCTAAGGAATCTGGGTTTGCACTTCTCTTGACAGATGTTGCTCGCTGTTTATGTAACTTGTAAATTATCTTTAACTGCTATGCTTTGGCCTATAGGATATACAAGATATGCTACTCAAATGTGTATCTCAAGACCTTGGATTCTCTGGGGGAAACCTGTTGCTGCTTCCCTGATATACAAATGCCTTCTTCAGTGGAGGTCATTTGAGGTTGAAAGAACTAATATTTTTGACCGTATTATTCAGGCAATTGGTTCAGCAATCGAGGTAGTTAAAACCTCTGTCTCCTATTTGTAACAATTAATTGATATCGTTTCGTTACATCCAGCAAATCCAGAACAATTATAACGCATTCATTTCATTTACATTCGGGCAAAATCATTTGGCTTATTTCATTCACTGGTTGTCCTTGAATCGGAAATTATGTATGTGCATGTATGGAAGTCCATTATAATTTAGGTATGTATTGCTGTTTACTTATTACTGATGTCATGCATTTCCCTCTGATAGGCCCAGGATAACAATGATGTATTGTCGTATTGGCTATCCAATTCCACAACCCTCTTGTTGCTGCTTCAACGGACACTAAAAGCAACCGGTGCTGCTAGCTTAACACCACAACGCCGAAGATCAACATCCTCTTCTCTGTTTGGGAGGGTATCCCAGGTAAAGAACATCATCAGGTTTCAGTCATTCTCCCCTTAGGACATTTGGTTTCGTACTTCATGAATCCTCTTACCAGTTGCCTTTTTCTTGTGGGCTGTGTGTTTCAGGGGTTCCGTGGTTCTCCACAAAGTGCTGGCTTCTCATTCCTAAATGGCAGGGTGCTCGGTGGTCTGGAAGAGTTGCGTCAAGTTGAAGCTAAGTATCCTGCTTTGCTTTTCAAGCAGCAGTTGACGGCTTTCCTGGAAAAGATATATGGAATGATAAGGGACAATTTGAAGAAAGAGATCTCGCCCTTGATAGGGTTGTGCATCCAGGTATTCCTCATGCCCTTGTTCTTAGATCTGTTACAGTCCCCTTTCTTGCATATCACATCTGGAAATTTTAAATGCAGGCACCACGTACATCACGAGCTGGTTTAGCCAAGGGACGATCCCAGGCGAATGCTATGGCTCAACAAACACTTATTGCTCATTGGCAGAGCATAGGGAGATCCTTGGACAGTTGCTTGAAAACAATGAGAGCCAACTACGTGAGTGGAAATTCTTACTACGCGAATGAAGATCAATTTCCTCTTTTCCTTTTTATGCGGCATGAACTCTTCAATGTTGTGTTCCCACAGGTACCTGCATTCCTAGTCCGAAAGGTGTTCACCCAGATATTCTCATTCATCAACGTTCAGTTATTTAACAGGTACCGGTAGTCCTCTCCCGTCGAACTTTTCTAGTGTCCCAGACTTTGTTGGAACACGAAAACTTAAAACTAAGAGTTTGACTTTCTCCAGCCTTCTTTTGCGTCGAGAATGCTGCTCATTCAGTAATGGGGAGTATGTAAAGACAGGGTTGGCTGAACTGGAGCAGTGGTGCCATGATGCAACTGAGGAGGTAATTTACTAGTTGGGGGGTATCTTGGTAGTTCAAATTCCTCCCTTTATGGAAACCCACTTAACGGTAACTTTTCGATCCAGTTTGTAGGCCCGGCCTGGGAGGAACTGAAACACATAAGACAAGCTGTCGGATTCCTGGTTTGTTACAGCAAAATGTCGCATCTTTCTACGACCATTCTTGCCTGATCTTTATTTGCTAATGGGGTATGATCATTTGTACCATTCAGGTCATACATCAGAAGCCAAAGAAAGCGTTGAAGGAAATTACAACCGATCTTTGCCCTGTGAGTAGGATAACACAATTCAGTATTCTGTATCTGCTTGTTTTTCCCTTTATTCTTTTTGCATTGACCTTTCCCCGACTCTTCTCTTTGTGGTATCTCCAGGTTCTCAGCATACAACAACTGTACAGAATCAGTACCATGTACTGGGATGACAAATACGGGACACATAGTGTTTCATCAGAGGTAAGCACTCGACTCTTCTGAACTAACACTCTACTTGCCACCAATGACAAGTGTTCAGTATGGTTACTTGTCTCTTTGGTAACTGGATCTCCCCTGATTTCTTTCAGGTCATCTCTAACATGAGAGTCATGATGACCGAGGACACGAATAACGCTGTCAGCAGCTCGTTCTTGTTGGATGACGATTCAAGGTATGAACATAGATCCAATTCCCTCCGGTTTGTAGAATGAAAAATGTACTCCGTAGTCCCCAAGACACCTATTCATCTTTTTTGTTGTTTTTGTGAATGCAGTATACCATTCACAGTAGACGACATTTCCAAGTCAATGGAGCATGTCGATGTTGCTGAGATTGAACCGCCACCTCTAATTCGTGAGAACTCAGGCTTCTCCTTCTTACAACGCACAGACTGATCTTTCGTCCTCTGCAGCCCTGTGAATATCTTGTTCTATTGAAGCTCCCCATTTATGTAATTATTAGCATTGCGCATAGTTTGAAACAGTAGGGAAGGCAGTTCTGATCTAGGGCAAAAAAACTGGGGGAAAAAACCACAAAGGAAAACAAAAGAAGAAAAGTATATGCAGAGGTCAAAGCACTTTCTCACTGGGATCATGTTCAAAGCATGGCGATGCAGTGCTACTTGATTCATTTTTCATTAGTCTGGAAACGATGATGTGTAGTGTAGAAATTAGCTGCCAATGGTTCTTTTTAATCTCTTCATTGGCTGCTATGTAACTTCTTGTAATGTCTGAACTTTTGTCCAAAAGACCAACAATCCCATTGTTAGTTAATGAAGTGGAGTCTTATTGATTGTCCATTCGAGACATATTTACGTCCTAAAATAAAACTAAAATGAAGTGAAGACCATGGTATGGGGGCAGTTCGGGAGTAAACCTTATATATGTATAATCTTACATCTGGAAGGTCTCAAACTGTTTTCCTACAAATTTTAATGGACTATATTTCTTTCATTTTAAATCTCAATTGAAATATTTTGCAAAGATAAATCGGATTAATTGTGCTCCTCAAAATAATATTTAATTTAATATATTTTGGAACGAAAAAAATTGAACATTTAGTACCAGTCTATACCATTGTGGTAATGCTTGATATTACATATACCACGTGGTATGGAAGTGTACCATGGTGATATAAACATACCACAGTGTAGAATGATTAAATACATATTAGTAGGAATGTACGAACTGTCATTTACTACATTTGTCATTGTTTACCACCAGTTACCACCCTTATGCCAGGGTGGTATATTTGGTCCTGCATATTTCTCCAAAAATTTGCAGATACAATAAATCACGAGGAACTCGTTCTTTCTATGCAAATTAAGAATTCGAGTTAAAAATGGATGTGATACCAAGATGGTAACGAGTGGTATGAAATTTCTTTTGTCGAAATATACTGAAAAATGAATATCATTTTGTAGATCACAACGTACTCGTTCCATCTTTGCAAAAAGAAAAAAAAATCCAAGTTAGAACAAAAAAGATAAAAATCGATTAAGAAAACAAGAGACAATTAAAAAGTCGTCAATTCTCACCCTTTAGATGTCGATTTTTTTGGGCCCACTTAAAACTAAGGGTCGAGATATAGTTATGTGAGTGGTTATGTACCCTATCCTTTACCTCATGATAGGCTGTCAGGGCTAATAAGGTTCTAATTCTATATGATCTTGCCAATTTCGCTATGGTTTTTATGAGAATATTCTCAAAGATCACCCATTGGGCCAAGTCGGCCAAGTACCCTATCCTTTACCTCATGATAGGCTGTCAGGGCTAATAAGGTTCTAATTCTATATGATCTTGCCAATTTCGCTATGGTTTTTATGAGAATATTCTCAAAGATCACCCATTGGGCCAATTCGGCCAAGTACCCTATCCTTTACCTCATGATAGGCTGTCGGGGCTAATAAGGTTCTAATTCTATATGATCTTGCCAATTTCGCTATGGTTTTTATGAGAATATTCTCAAAGATCACCCATTGAGCCAAGTCGTCCAAGTACCCTATCCTTTACCTCATGATAGGCTGTCAGGGCTAATAAGGTTATAATTCTATATGATCTTGCCAATTTCGCTATGATTTTTATGAGAATATTCTCAAAGAGCACCCATTGGCCACATCGGCCAAGTTTGAAATGAGTGACCAGGAATCGTTGGCGCTAGGGTGGACTGTGGGGAGGAGAGAAGCAGCCAAGGGGGAGCCGGCTGAGCTGCCTGAGCCGAGGGAAGAGAAGGACACCCACCTACCAACTCTCTCTCATGCTCCATTATCCCTCATTTTTTTTTTCTCTCTTTGTCTTCCATTGAAAAGAAGGGGCAATGTCTATTTTTTACCCAAACCTTTTCAAAATTCTTTTATTTTACCCAAACCTATCAAAATTCTATTTATTATCCAAACTTATTGTAACTGATCAAAGTCTGGGCATTCATTCTGTTACCGCTACGTATTTCGTAACGGAACTCCACGTCAGCATCCACGTCTGAAATTAATAAAATAAAAAATCATAACAAAATTTGAAATTACAAATAAAATAATAAAAAATATCAATTCTTTATTTTTTGTTCCTTTACTCTCTCCGCCTCTCGCTCTCTTTTTCCTAATCCACTTCCTCTCTCTGCCTTCCCTTTCCTTCCTCTTCTTCCAGAAAATGAAAAAGCTCGATCTGGATACCGGCCAAGCCAAATCAAGCACAGAAGCGTCTATCTAGATCTCGCCGGAGAACCAGATGGCGGCTGCGGGGGTGGTGATGACGACGACGGCGGGTATTGTGGATACGAGCGCCGCGGTTAATTATGACGATCTGAATAATAACCAGCAGAAAGAATGTGTTGTCGCTGGATATCAATTTGCCGGCGCCGGAAGATCTCGCGCCCACGGGCATCACCGTGCAGAGCAGTCTCCGTCGAAGTTCCAGTTCGTGTCGAAGCAATCGACGAAGGCGATGAGTTCTCGTCTCCGGCGTTGGTTGGGTGCCACTACTGATCGGAAACAGAAGAGAGAAGCCAGAAGGAAGAATAAGAGGAGATAAGTTCACAACTCCAGACTCAAGCTTCAGAGCAGTTCAAGGCTCTCGATCTGAGTCACGTGATTCAGAAAACCCGAGACTTCCGCCATGGCTCAGGACGATGAGGAGGTGGATGAAACTGGAGTCGAGCCGAAGGACATTGAGTTGGTGATGACACATAATAAAAAAATTCATTTATTGCCACATCGACATTTTTTTTGCCCGCGCAGTTTTAACTAACGGAACTGTTAACGGAAACTTACGTTTTGGATAATAAATAGAATTTTCATAGGTTTGGGTAAAATAAAAGAATTTTGAAAAAATTTGGGTAAAAAATAGACATTGCCCAAAAGAAGGACACTAGATTTCCAAATCTGGCCATCTCATGCAAAATCTGGCCTTCGAAGACAAGAAGAAGAACCCATAGGAGGTAAGAATGACAATAGGGCAGGCAGGGGCGCCCGAGCGGGTATCAAGATACCCATACCTGTTCCGTGACTGGTCGAGATCAGCACTGAAAATTTATCACGGGGCGCAGGCTGAGACAGGTTGACCCAAATGGGTATCTAATTTAAATCTAAAACTTCAAAAATATTTATCTTTTCATGACAAAAAGTAAGAAACAAACTATAACATGATTAATATAATTAAATTATTCACAAAATATTACTTTTAAGTAATAAAAGTAAAATGCTAAGTAATTTCACTAAATTAAATGTGATTTAAGTAAGAACGAGTAAAAAGTGGGGCGGGTCAGGGCAGGTCATGTCGAAATTGCCATCCCTAATAAAGGAGAGTGTTTAGAAGTTGTGAGACAACAGGCATGTCGACCTCAATATTCCAGAAGAGGTCGATCTTGGAATCCAAAAGAAGGATGTCACTGATCTTGCTGATATCCTCCTCAAGTGGATGGTAAAGATACATGTGATAGTTTGTGGGGCTCGTAAGAGTGGATGACTATTGTTGATGAAATAGAAGAAGGAATGTGAAGGCCACACCAAATGATTTATGTTGACTTATTATGTTTTGGTTCTAGTCGAGCATTCAATGCCTTCATATGGTTGGCGCATTTATTATGTTGAAAAAAAAATCCGAGATTTCAGTAATTGAATACTTCTTCCTATGTTTTTAATTCGAGTTGAGAGAGCTTTCAATTATTATTCGTACATACATGCATGTAGTTTTTGTGTGTGCATGAATATTTGTTTGTGTTTTCATGAATATGTGTTGGAAGATTAACAAAAAATTTTGTATTCGTGTCATAATCGAATATTGGTTTATATTATATATAATGCTTGTTCGTCCTCGGAAGAATATTACTTGAAATGTTCATGAATATTAGTCGGTCGTATAAAAAAAATTTGTTGGCATTTTTTCCAATACGTATTCGTATGTTGAAGAATATTAGTTGTATTCATGAATATTGGATGTAATCACATGTGAATACTAGTTAGGATTAGAGGACAATGATCGTTGAGGTTCTAATTGTATTTTACTTTAAATTTAAATGGTAGGCTATGCAGCACTAGAAGATGAAAATTTAAGGAGGAACTTGCAATTCAAGACTAGTGACAACTGCTATAGCTTCTATTCAAGTTATGCTGACGATTGAGGTTTTAGTGTGCGAATACAAAACGAACACGCGAAGTTGTACACGAACAGTAAGGGTGGGAAAAGGTTTGGTACATTTACTAAAAATGCAATAAACAAGGTTATTCAATCAAGAGTACTATAAATCCAAAGAATACGAAGAAATGGCCGGACGACAGTGTTGTTGTTAATGGTTGAAGCCAACACGAATGCTGGTGTTAGTTTGAACTTTTCATACAAGCTATTGACTATATGTGTTTGTGGGTACGGAAATCTTACATTCTCGAGGAATGACCGAAGGAGCCATCTGAACAAGAAAAGGCAAAGGAACATGACACACAGTGAAGCTACTTATTTGTTGAAATACTTTTTAGAATACTAGTCTGAAGAATTTGAATGCTACTATGAAGAGTTTGAGTACTAGTCTGGAGTGTTTGAGTATAAGTGTAGAGAGTTTGAGTACTAGTCTGTTGTGTATGAATATTACTTTGGACGATTTCAATAATTTTTTTAATTTTTTTGACGACTTGTGTTATGTAGGGATGTTTGCTGGTTTTAACCACCACCGACAAACTTGCATCTTCCGGGCATTTTTGTTGTACGACGAGGACTAGTGCATCTTTCGAGTGGTTGTTTGATACTTTGTGTCGTTGTATGGATCATAAACTCACAGCCACCATCTTCACTGATCAGGACCCAACCATAGCCAAAACACTTAGGAAAGAGTGGCCTGGCATCTTCCATATATTATGTACTTGACACATCTTAATGAATGTGAAGAAGCAATTTCTGAAGGATAAGACTGTTTGGCATAAGCTACAACTTTACCTCACTATCATCCCTTTTCTCGTTGGACATAGTACCCAACAATGTCCTATGAATAGAGAGAGAGTTTAGTGTGAATTTCCTTGATAGGTTGTGTTAGTTGAGGATAGTATCACTCTAAACAATCGACTCAAGAGAGAAGTGATTGCTTCAATTGAGATTCATGACTTGTTAAGGGCTTTCCACATTATGAATGAAAGGGTGAAATAGGTTTCATAACCATCAATCATTAATCCGAGGGTAAATGACACATTTGGTCATTGAGATTATTAAATTGTGTCATGTTTAGTCACTAGAAAAAATTAATATCAATTTTGGTCACTCGAATTACCGAAACTGGTCAAATTTAGTCACTCTCCCGTCAGTTTCCGTCCAACTCCATTAATGTAGTTGGACGGAAACTTTTGGGAGAGTGACTAAATGTGACATGTTTCAGTAATACGAGTGACTAAATGTGACATTTTTCAATAATTCGAGTGACCGGAGTTGGACAGAGGCTACAGAAGAGTGACCAAATGTGACCTGTGTCAGTAATTCGAGTGACCAAAATTGATATTAAATTTTTCTAGTGACTAAATATGACACGATTTAGTAATCTCAGTGACCAAATGTGTCATTTACCCATTAATCCGACCAGTGGCTATGGGGAATTCATTACCTGAGTGAGCCTTCTACCTTTTAAATAGTTTAACCATTTCGCAGTTTGTTAGAATAGTTTTAGTTGTTTTACCTGAATTTGAATTTCCTAGATAATAAGCTAAAACCGAGTAATAGTAAATCTTGAGATTCATAAATACGACAATTTTATTACTTGTGTCACTGTATCATGATTCCATTATTGGTTCACTTGCCTATATATATAGTTCTATATTGAATCCGCTCCAAAAAAAACATCACTCCCTAAGCGCCAATCTAACAAGTTCGCGGTTAAACTTAACTGCCCGTAAACAAGCAGAACAGAATAGTCAAAAGTGAAAGCAAATCCCAGAACTCACGCAGGGAGATGTTGCGGAAATGCTTCACCACCGTGGCCAGCTCCTCCTCATTCACATCGACTCATACTCTCAAGGAGAAAAAATGGGACGCGCTGGTCATCGGCGGTGGCCACAACGTCTTGACGGCAGCTGCCTACCTCGCTCGAGCCGGTCTCTCCGTCGTAGTGCTTGAGCGTCGCCACCTCGTCGGCGGCGCAGCCGTTACTGAAGAGATCATCCCTGGCTTCCAGTTCTCCAGATGCAGCTACCTCCAGAGTCTTCTTCGCCCCTCCATCATCAAGTGATCATTTTTCTTCTACTCCTATTGCTTCCCCGGTTTCTCCCCTGTTTTTTCTGATAATTTGTTTTGAGAACAGAGAGTTGGAGTTGGAGAGGCATGGATTGAAGATGCTGGAAGGAAGCGCATTCTCTTTCACGCCTTGTTTTGATGGCCGTTACATTCTGCTTGGAACCGACGCCGATCACAACCTTGCAGAGATTTCCAAATTCTCCAAAAGGGACGCCGACGATTATCCGAGGTTCTTTGGATTGAATATAAGCTGACTAACTATGGAAAACATGGTTCACTACGTTTGTAGGTGGTCCTTGCTGACGGTACTCGAGTCCTATCTCGAGTTGTTCCGTCGAATGCCACTCCTTACAGAACTTTCCTGGTAAAGTGTTGTTCTAGCATATGCACCAGATCGGTTTGGACGAAAAAAGCAGTCCTATCATCAATTCAGTTTCTTATTCTCCATCTCAATCACAGGAATTGTTGCCAAGCGATGTTCTCCCCAGCGATTTCATCTCGTCACTGAAGAATACCAACTACAGCTCTGTGAGGCTTTGTTTGCTCTCTCTTGAATTGAAGTTCTCAACTTTTTGATTGACTTCCAGGTTGTAGATTTTCAAACACTCAGTTACTACTATACGATCGATGTAACTAAAACAGGCATCGACAAAGATTAACGTTGCTGTGGATAAGCTGTCCCATTTCCCATATTGGAAGTCGAGCAGTCATAATCCAGGTCCCCACCTCATGGGGACGATTCGAATCGGAGCAGACAAGTAAGCATTTCATTCCATTGCTACTATGCTACTAGTATCTTGCTCCGTTATCTTCCTGAATTTAGAATCTATGATTTGTTTCGAATGTATCCACAAAGTCTGGAGACAATAGATGAGGCGTGTCAAGATGCAGTTAATGGTTTACCTTAAAGAAGACCGGTTATGGAGATGACAATTCCTTCGGTTTTGGACAAAACCATGTCACCCCCTGGTACGTCTACCCTAAGCAGAACTCAGGATGAACTTTCGTCATAAGATCGTTTTTTTGACTTTGATTGAATCCACGCAACCACTGGCTTTGTAGGCAAGCATGTAGTAGGGCTGTTCACACAGTACACACCATACAAGCCATCAGATGGAAGCTGGGATGAGCCGATGTACAGAGTGAGTGTTGAGTCATGCAAACTACTTCCGTTTTAGTCATGGGGTTGGAGGATACCTGTCATCGCAGTGTGTGTTGAAATCCATCATTTCTGCAGGAAGCGTATGCAGAAAGATGTTTCAGATTGGTTGAAGAGTATGCCCTGGGCTTCAGCACCTCCGTCATTGGGTATGACATGTTGACTCCTCCAGACCTGGAGCGCGTCATCGGCCTTACAGGTACTTCCCCAAATTAGAACCACAAAAACAAACACCTGATCTATGGGGAGCTGAGCTGAGTTTGCTTCTCCACAGGCAGGAATACCTTTCATGGTGCCATGGGACTGGACAGTCTCTTCCTCCTGCGGCCAGTAAATGGAAACAGCTTAATCATACATCAGTCTTTCACTGTTGATGGGGAATTGAATCTTGCCCAAGTCAGGATCATAAAGCCTTGCTTTCTCTTGGGGCCACGATAACACAGGTCGGATTATAAGACACCGATTCCAGGACTATACCTTTGTGGAAGCGGAACCCATGCAGGTGGTGGAGTAATGGGAGCACCAGGATGTAATTCTGCCCGTGTAGTTCTTCAGGAGTTCAATATACCAAACGGAGGGGTTCATCCAATTGTAAGAATAAGAAGAGTTCTGCCCAGAAAGTTGATTATGCCGTGTATGCTGTTTTTCATTATGTTTATAGAGATGATCATCCTCGAGAGATCATCCAACTTAATTCGTAATCAATAGATGTAAAGAAGCGAATGAGTGAACTTCGAAATGGAAATTTCATAAGATTTCAACTAACAGCAGTCTGATCAGCTGTGAGGAGCCAGAGGAAAGAGTAGTACAACAGCTGAAATAGAGGGATGAGAGAGAATGCAAGTTTAATGGGAGTTGGAGCCTAAAATCTGATGTCGATGAGGTCTTGAAACAGTGTGCTACCTATTCCTCCAGCCAGAAACTGTTTTGGTAACTAATCCTATAGAGTTTGAGGCTGATTCTTGCCTGCATCACACACAAGTTAGTCACTTGGTAATGTTCAAGATAATCAGGCAGCCACTGAAACTGTGTTTGTGTGTGTGTGAGAGAGAGAAAGAAGCACCTTGATATTTCTTCAACAACCTTCATGACTTCGGCTGAACTTGTTTCCAGCACTTGGCCTCCAAAGATTATCTCATCCAATATGGTATGCAGCTATCCAGCAAGACAAACCATAGTCGAATTAGTCTCTAATGAGTCACTAAATCCATGCTGCTAGGCAATAAAAGATGCACAATCTTTGACTCTCGTTTTTTTCTTTAATTATCTGTCTGTTAGTAGAGAGGTGGAGTGCCAATCTGCAGGCAGTTAGGAAGCTTGCTTGTTTAATTGTTTTCAAGTGTTTAAGTAGCAGAGCTCAGAGGAAATAAGGGGAAGTGCTTATGAAAAGAAAACAAGGTATCATTCGAATCCTTGATGCAATATTTGTGGTTTCATTCTCACTCAAAGATAACATGAGAGAATATCTTTGGTATGATTGTCACCTATCACATAAGGAGCCTATTTCCCAGCAAAATGACCAATTACATTAATTATTGTACTAGACCAACAATCAAGTGATTCAAGTTCAAGTAGCTAAAGGCAGTACTTTTGACCAGTGTTCTTATGTCAAATAACACAAAATCATAGGCACAATAGCAACAGGCCAACAATAGATGATTACCTATACACAAGAGTCCTAGTGCATGTAAACAAGGGAATATCGCATACCTTGCTGTAATTGAATACAATGTCAAGCTCACACACATTTCTGAAGCATTTGTCCAGTGTTTCCACGAAAACTGCCAACAAGCAAAGAGGCATTCAGAAAGCACCAGGAGAAACCATTTAAAAACTTAGATAAAAGAGCTATTTAGGCTCATAAGACATTGTTTCACATGGTTGCTCTGGCATCCAAATAAGTTCAAATAAACCGAAGTACTAATGGATGACTATTCGAGAAGTTAAAAATTGCTCAACTCGACAGAAATCCGGCCCCATACATCAAGACTTTGGGTTTGCCTTCCTATCAGAAGATTCAACTACATAGTTAGAGCCCTTCCTTTTACCACCACTCTAGTTTAATCTACCCAAGTTTAAGTTGAACCAAAGGCTTCTGCAAGATTAATTACACCAAATTTCATTCACAATGTAGTGGAAATCTTCTATTGTTCATGATCCCCAAGGATGTTCAATAAAATGTCATCAGAGGTTCTTTTAGCCACTCCAATATCACAAGTAAACAAATTAGATTCACTCTTCTTGTACCTTCAGAGGCTCTAGCTAGTAATAAAAAGCAAAAAACAAGAAACCGCTGTATGGTTCCTGGAGAAAGTGATCGCCATACCTTGGATGAGATCAAGCATTGCAAGCTCGTTCTCTGAACTATCGAACACAAAGACGAAGTAGAGAGTCGCATAGTGCTTGTAGACAAGACGACTATCCTGTCACACAGATAAAAACCCTTGAGCACGATACTAAAGATCACAACTTTTGATATGGAATTCTGAGAAGTTCAACAGCAGGAAGCATCAGAACATACCGGACCGAAAATTGAATCCGCTTCCATGAAATTGCTAACGTTCTCCGCCCTACTGCACAAAACTACGCACCAGAAATCCTAACTCAGAGATCGAAAACCCACAACTCTACAACGACGAGATCTTTAGAGCAGTTTTGGCAAAAAAATGCCGAGCCGTCGTTCGAAGGGTCGACCAATTACCTCCAAACACGGTCCGTATAATCCCCTGCTGCTTCTCCACAGGCTTTGCCCTCGCAGAAATTCCATCGATAAAGCGAGATCATCAGAAAGGAAGCTTACTCAACTAGCTGATACAGTTTCTTCGCATCAAACATGGAAGGAAAAAAAAAAGAGAAAATTGAGTTTGTCTCTTCCTTACCAGAAATTCATAAAATTTCGTGAGCCGAGGCTTGCCTTGAGTGTTCATCACCATCACTGCTTTGATCATCTTCGCCGATCAACTTTCGCTGCTCTCGTCCGCAATCAACTCTCGCTTCGAAGGAAACAGCAGCGGAGTAGGGAGTGGTTCGAACTTCGAAGGCCCTATAGCTCAGATGTCAAATGTTTCGCTGTAGTTTCATGGTAGATTACCATAAGTGTACATAAAAAATATTTATTCGAGTGGAAACATTAAGGGGTCATTTGGATCTAGGTTTTTGATTTGTGGGATTTTGGCTCAAATCACTTGTTTAAAAACCTAGGTTTTTAATTTGTAGGATTTGTGTGGGATTTTAAAATAGCTGATCACCATCAGCTATTTCATAATCCCACAATTGTGGGTTTCTGAAATCTCTAATATTTAAAATCTCTTATCATATAATTGCTTTCCAAACGAGTGATTTTAATAAAATCCCACATTATGTAGGATTGTGCCCAAATCCCACACCCAAAACCTGCATCCAAATGACCCCTAAGAATAAGTTGACGTGGTTACTTGGATATGTATATAACTTTTGTGACCAATTTAATACTTCACCTCAACTCCGCGCTAACTACTAGCTTAGACTAACTCCAACCCCAAAAGCTATATTTAGCCTCCCAAGCTCTCAAATGTGCATATTTGCCTCCCCAAAACACTTTTTTGCTCCAACCCTATAGGCTTCCAAATTTAGCTTCCCACATCTTTTTTTAATTTAATTTCCATAATCCATACTTATTTACAATATCATTCTTGTAATTCACTTTAATTTTTTTATAGTTTGTTATTACTTGTGAAAACAAATTTTTCGATGTAATTTTTTTTAATTCCGAGATATTTTTTTTTTTTGCAAAATTAGTCATTTTTTTGTAGCCGTTACTTTATGACCGTTTTTTTGGACCTATCCAAATATGACCGTTTTTTTAGCCGTTACTTTGTGACCGTTTTTTTTGTCGTTTTGTGCATCATATGTGTTTATAAATCACAATTCTTCATTTTTCATCAACTCACTGAAACTTCTTCCCATTTCTAAAACAAACACATTCATCATGAGTATGTCAGATAGCTCATCGTCGGGAGGAGAAGAAGAAATCGAAGAGTACGAGAGGTTTCACCACCTACGGTTGAGTTTAATCGGCCGGAGGCTGGCTGAAGGTTCATCAAGTCGACGTCAAACTACAAGTCGACGTCACATTGATCGTGAAAGGGTCGAATGTAATCGCCGTCTTATGAGGGATTACTTCGATCCAAATCCAGTATACAATGCTCGTATATTTAGAAGGCGCTATCGGATGCAACCAAGATTATTCCATCGCATTATGGGCGACATTGTGAGGTTTGACCCCTCATTTGCTCTACGGCGTGATAGCTTGGGTCAATTGTCATTATCTCCAGAGCAGAAGCTTACTGGTGCGATGCGCATGCTAGCATATGGTTCTCCAGCTGATCAACTTGACGAGTATGTTCGTATGGGTGAGAGCACTTTGATGGAGGTCTTCAGAAAGTTCTGCAACAACATTATCAACATGTATGGGGTCACATATCTTCGCGCACCTACTCCTGCCGATTTAAGGATCTTACTCAGTAAAGCCTCAAGACGTGGCTTTCCTGGAATGATTGGATCAATTGACTGTATGCATTGGGAATGGAGGAATTGTCCAAGCGGCTGGGCAGGACAATACACCGGCCATATGCATAGGCCAACAATCATTCTAGAGGCGGTGGCCTCCTACAACACATGGATATGACATGCTTTCTTTGGGTCTCCTGGATCGAACAACGATATAAATGTTCTGGGGATGTCGCCAGTGTTTGATCGTATTGTCAATGGAAGCGCTCCACATGTACGATTTGAGGTAAATGGCAATGCTTATGATCAATGCTATTATTTGGCCGACGGTATTTATCCCTCATGGTCGACTTTAGTGAAGACCTTCAGCAATCCAAGGTCAAACAAAGAGGCTTTGTTTGCTCAACGTCAAGAAGCACACCGCAAAGACGTAGAGCGGGCATTTGGAATCCTCCAATCAAGATGGGCAATTGTTCGTGGCCCTGCAAGAGCTTGGGATGTTGTCACCCTGAACAATATAATGTTGACGTGCATTATATTACACAACATGATAATCGAGGATGAGCAAGTTGATTCTGATGATGAGATGGATGATGACCTTGATTATTAAGTCCATGAACAACCTCAACCAATCAACCGACAAGTTCCAACTCTGGTTGATTATTTGGCTAGAAATAATAGGATTCGCTCCTCAACAACACATCATGCGCTTCGAAATGACTTGGTTGAGCATCTTTGGAATTTGCAGGGCAATAACTAGTATTGTTTAATTATGGATTGTATTGCTTGTTTGGTAGTTTGTATTTTAAGTTTCAGTGTGTGATTGTATTTCATGTTTCAATAAAGTGTGTTTTGTAGTTAATCAAACGATTCAATAACGACTAGTTTTTTTATTACACGTGAAAATGCTCAAAGTTCAAATACAACACAAAACACACCACATAAAGCAATTCAAGTTCAAATACAACACAAAACACACCACATAAAGCAATAAAAGCCTAAATTAGTACACATCGGACCTTCTTCTAATCATAATCCATAACAGGAAAGTAATCACCTCCACTTTCATCTCCATCTCCTCCACCACTTGCATCTCCATCTCCGCCATCTCCTGGATTAGAGTTGGGATCATCTTGATCGTACCCATAGATGTCATTTTGTTTAGTCCTCCAAAATTTCTTCTTTCTTGGTGTCATCTTTGACAAATCCTTCTCCAGAATATTCATATTTTGTTGAAGTAATGCGACCTCCCTCTCTTTCTTCTCAAGAGCCCATTGTTCCGCTTCCTGCTCCCTCACTTGCCTCTTGTATGCCCATTCCTCGGCTTCCCTCTCTAGTCTCCTCTTTTGAAGATTAATTTTTCTATTTTCGTACTCCATCCTCGACTTTTGCCTCTCTCTCATATCATTATCAAACTCTAGCAGTTGAGTAGTGTACATGTCTGACGATTCCGCAACTACCTTACCTTTCTTTTTTGCTGCCTTTTGTTTGTCGCGTCCTTCAGGGCGAGACAGCACGAAAGGCGTAGCTCCCTCGTCTGGTATGTCGTCGAGGCCTTCCACAGGGGAGGATTGAGAACCAATACCTGTGGGAGAACTTTGAGAACCTTGACCCATAGGTGGAATTGGACCAACAACCAATTGAGGGTCACAATACCACTTTGGGCAATTTCGAAGGATGACCCAACAATGCTCATGTTCAAAGGCTTTGTCCCCATTCTCTGCCTTATATATTCTCCTTGCTACAAATTCCTATCAAAATTATTAATACACAAGTTAGATAAGTATACAAAAAAATAAGAAATACAAAAGTTAAAGTTTCCAAAACAATACCACATCAACTTGGTTGGTACCGCTCGTTTGACTCCTCTCCGCCCTCTCCAAAGCTCCCTTCCAAACTTTACACTTGTTACTGATAAGTCTCATTCGGGATTCCATTGAATCCGTAGTACGAATTGTTGTAGGATCGCTTCTTCGAAATTCCCTCTCCACCCTTTCCCATAATCTCGTGCTCTTTTGATTGATGCCAACCGCTCCATCTTCAGATATTGATATCCAAGATTTGCACAAGTTTACATCTTCATGAGCTTTCCAATTGGGTCCTCTCTTACTTGACATGTTTTTGTTTTGAGAGATGATAAATAGATGAGAATGAGAGAGATTGATTTGAGAATGAGTGCAGAAAAACCATGAGAAGTTACTCATTATATAGAGAAAAAAATATGACCGTTAAAATGTGTCCGTTGCAATGTGACCGTTTTATTGTCACTATATTACTTCTTTCAAAAAATATGACCGTTAAAACGCAAACACAGCCACACAAACTAAAACGCAAACACACCCACACAAATAAACCACACAAACAAAAATTGAGGCGCGTGCGGCCCAGGCGCGCCTCCGCGGGTGGCCCTCGCCTGCACGCGGGGTCCCCTGCTGCAGCTGCTATTTTTGCCCATTTCCTCCATGGAGGCTGCTACCTATCCACCCCAACACTCCATTCTCCAAATTTGGAAGCAAAATTGAAGGTGGGTTGGAGATGAAAAAAGGCAAATTGTTGCCTTTCTCCAAATTTGCAAGCAAGGGTTGGAGTTAGTCTTAGGGCGGGGAATTTAGACCAAAATGTACGGGAAACTATGTGTACGGTTTGGTCCGAACAGTAAGACCAGAATTATGATTTGGTCTGTGATCTTCCATTTAGTGTGTGGTTTGATACGGTCTGGATTGCGGTAAATCCCGATTAATCGTGGTGGACCGTGACCTACTACCCACTAATTCAAATCAAAACACTAAATCTTCATTTATGCATTTGGAAGAACAAATCGAGGCTGATCAATCTGATCATTGCGAACAAACAATTCGATTGTAGATTTCTGTATATGAATAATAAATCTATTAATTCTTCATTAAGCTGAAAATCGACAGACTGCTCAAGTGATATTTTCTGTGTTCTTCTAATGAAAGAACCACACAAAAACAAGAAAAGATGGGAAAATCATCTCAACATGCCATGCCATGTTTAGAATCCGAAGTCAATTATATAGAAATGCATAACATAATTTATTTACCCCGGTGAGATAAGAGAAAATTTGTCGAGCGAAGCGGCCAACCTAGTGGTTCAAAATGATCTCGACTTCTTTGCGATGGAGATTAAGTGCGAGAACCTTTTAGACCAACCTGGAAGAGGGAGACAGAGTTATTTGTTGTGTTTTTATTTTAAGTGGAGACCGGATAGGAGTAAGAAATCGAAAATGTACACTTCTCTCCGCATATTTTTTCGCGAGTTAGTTACAGTCACTAAATTTTTGTTTCACTAGTATATTGGACGCCGAGCTTTTTATTTTTGTGGATACCAAAGAGGATCGAAGGGTTGAAAAAGTGTGAAGTTTTATTGAACATGGTCTACTTAATCCCGATCATATCTTACCGAAACGCATTGTATAGCCTCGATCTGGTCTGAATCGTATAATATGTGGTTTGATCCATAATTTATATTCTAAAATGTCGATCTTGACCACAAACTGTATATATAGTCTGATCTGATTCAGACTGCACCGTTTTCATCCCTATAATCCCTACTAACCGAAATCCATGGAATCGAAATCTACCGATGGACATGGTGGGAGAGCGCGATTGATCAAGTGGTTAATGAGAAAGTTATGTATAAACGTCTTTTTAGACAACCGATCAATACTTTGCAGCTTGCTTATGAGCATTGAGCAATGTGTCTATTCATCGGGGGAGTTAATCTGCTAACTTGAAAATTCGTTAGCAGATACTAACTGATATCTAAAACATGAACTAGTATCCAAGTACTAAAATATCTAGAGAGCACAGACTAGTATTCAAGGTTTGCTAACTGATATCTATCATGAATCAACTATTATCCCAAATTCACAAACTAATATCTAGACAAGACATAATAGTATCCATACAACACATAATTAGTATCCAGATAACACATAAGAGTATCCAGATAACACATAAAAGTACCCATATTGAATACTAGTTGGTTGATTGTGGATATTAGTTGGTATTTGCTATCTGGATACTAGTTTGTGATGTTTTGAATACTAGTCTGTGCTATCTAAATACTTTAGTAAAATCAACAGACTTGGATACTAGTTCATACATTTTGGATCTTAGTTAGTATATACTAACAATTTATGCAGTTAGCATAATAACTAGAGTGGTCTTTCGTAGGGAGTGGATTCCTGTCCTTAAAAGTTAAACTAATCTAGGTCAAAACGCTGCGTTTTGTTGCTGCCGGGAGGTGATAAAAAAACGGTGTTTGCGATGGCGCCTTTGAGGTGGTGGAAGAAAGACGCGACGTTCTTCAAGAGGGCCAGGAAGTCGTTTGATGTGGAGGTAGGGATGGCAACAAAACCCGAACCCACTGGTACCCACCCGACCCAACCCGGTCAACGCGGGTAAAATCCGTGTTGACGGGTTTTGGGCCGGGTTTGGGTTTAAACCCGTTCACTATTCACCGGGTTGGGTTGGGTTTGGGTTTAGGTAAACCCGGCCCGTGGGTACCCGCCCGCCCATATAATTAATTTTTTCGGTATATTTAATATTCTAAACAACTAGTCTTATTTATGTTTGTGGAGACATGTCTAATTTTTTCTTTTTAATTGTGTAGAATGAAGTTGATGTTATGGAGTGGAGAGTAAAGAAACTTAATTGAAAGGAAGAAGCTTTCAATTAAACATGTTATTTATGGATAATTTTTGATTTGCTTCAATTTTCTTGAGTTTTCTAGATTGGTGTTGAACAATTTGTATAGTTAATTTGTGATTTGCTTGAATTTTCTAGAATGGTGTTTTATATATGGATAATTTGTATTGAGAGATTGATATTTGACTTTAATTTTGATAAGAACTTGTAATTGTAAATTTTTAACGACAAAACCCGTGGGTACCCATGAACCCGCGGATACCCAACGGGTTGGGTTGGGTTTGAGTTTTTCAAACCCAGTGGGTTTTACCCCGGGTTTTTTTCAAAGATAAACCCATGGGTTTGGGTTTGGGTTTGGCAAAACCCGACCCAACCCGACCCATTGCCATCCCTATGTGGAGGCAATTTATGTGGACACTGGACAGTCCCAATGCGGGGTGCAGAATCGGAGTCACTGTCTGCCGTTTTACGGCCAGGGGGCAAAGAAACGAGAAACTAGCTCCTGCAAGGGCAGGCGTATGATGGATAGATGGTTATAAACATTTCATTGTGCTTCTATTGCGTTGTTTGGTAACAAAATATCAGTCCTGAAACGGTACCATCTATCTATCTATCTATCTATCTATACTATATATTATGGCAATTCAAAAAAAATTTCTTGCCACATAAGCACTTGGAGGATCCACAATTTGCCAAGTTTGACAACTTTTTACAAACAAAAAAATTAGTTATTAATGTATTTATGGAGCTACCTCTCTCTTCTTTAATATTTCCATTTCTTTTATCCGATTATTCTTTTCCATTTATCCATTAATTTTTTTTCTTTAATAATAAGTTACATGTTGATAAACTTAACCAAACACACATAAATAATAATTTTTTGTTAAATAAATAAAATATAAATAAGAAAACAGAGAGTGACATATATCACATTTATTTAAATAAAAAAATATATGATTAAACCTTATGAAATAAAATTTCTACTCATTTTTACTAAAATTCAATGATAAGTTATATTTTGATGAACAAACATACATATAAACAATTATGTTTTAATCGATTAAACCAAAATATATATGAAAAGAGAGAAAATAAACATTTGACATTCAATTACCTTTGAAAAATAAACTATATTACTTTATATTTTGTTACAATGAAACACTCTCTTATTCGTACAGTATATATCTATAAAATAAAACTGTATTATTCAGAAAAATGTCAGAGTATAATCTTGATCGAGTAGTTACAGTTATTTATTTAAAAAAAAATTCTTATTCATTCAGATCATGTTCTACCTTAAATTCCTCAAATGAAGAGGAATCGCATATGCAATAATTTGATAATGTGACCTAAGTTCACATTAATAATATTTGCTCTATATCCTGTTGATTGAGCAAGCTCTATTGAGGTTCTAAGTCGTACGCTAAGAAATTTTCTTTCAGACTTGGAGTTATCTTCGAAGATTATAAATCAAAATTTTCAAAATGACTTAAGTATGATTGTTGACGAACTTTGACTTCATACCCTAGGATGAGACACAAAATTCCTTGAAAAATAATATATGTGAAGGTTAGAAAAATCTTTGTTCAGAATCTACGATAAACATCACGTTTCATCAACTACTGACCTAGGCATTTACCAAATAAAGGTTGGTAATTTTTAGTAAGATCGTCAATTGGGATAAACATATTTTTCCAGGAATCAAGTATATTTATCCAATAATCTCAACTCTCTAAATTGGTTGTCAGTTCGTCTAGACTCGAGAAACACGAATTAATATATGTTGTATAAGATAATAAGTTAATGCAAATAATCAAATGAAATACACTGATATTGTTCAAATGATAAGACATTTTAAATGCACTTAAAATATTTGTGTATTGGAGACACTCTTTATCAATTATTAATATATAAGTGATAAAATCTTTGAAAATTACACATTCAACGATCATTTTAAGACCAAAATCCTCGATAGTGTATGTGAGTGCCTTAGATTGAGATTCTAAGCCAACATATAAACAATGACCACCGATTGAGGTTTAGTATATACTTCAAGAATTAACAATTGATACATATTGTATAATATACTAAATTTAAGTGTCTGGATAAAAAAACAAACATCCAAAATGAAAATGAGTCGATATTAGAGAATTTAGTCATCATGAGGGCTACCGTGTGTGTCAAGTTTCAATATGGATGAATAAATCCGATAATGAAGTATCTTTACTAAGAATTTCTCACTAAAAAGTCGTAATTTTTACAACATTGGTCGAGAGTTCGTCCAAACTCGAGGATCATGAATGTGTATTGGATTCCCAACCCCTTTCGAGGGCTAAATACCTCTTATCCGGTTATCCCAACCATAGGTAATAAAGTAGAATGAAAAAGAAGCCAAAAAAAGCAAAAAAGAACATAACCTCCAATACGATGAACATAATAAAACCATATTGAGCTATGATCCTGTCATCCCTACCTTTTTATTCTCCATAAAGGGGATAGTGGGAGAGGATAAGAAATAAATAGTAGGATCTTAGTATTTGCCTCTTTATATATTACATATCGAACGATAGACAACCCCAATGGTTGTCTGGCGTTATGGGGGTAAAAGCAAGATCTCTAGATAATTTTGAGTCTAATATACATATACACACATATATATACATGTATATGTAATATCAATGTATACTATACTTTATTTAACTCAAGATACGATAGAAGATAGGAATTACGAAGTATGTGCATAAATTAGAGGTTACAGAATTAGGGACTAGAGTTCACCTATTAGAGGTTAGGGTATAGTATCATGACCCAAAAAACTCCAGTTAATTCGGGTCTAAATAGTAAAACTCAATGTTCGTATGGTAGTATGAACACAAGAGTCTAGCGTACTCCTGGCGCACGCTAGCTTGAACTATATATATGTGTGTGTGGTTCAGGTTGGCGTACGCTAAATATTAGTGTTTTGGTTGACAAATTTTGACATAAGTTCTAAATGGGACGTGACAGCGACATAATTTATGATTCAAAAACCGAAGCATTACAAGTGAGTGTGCTAAATATTGGCAATTTCAATATAGACATACTACAAACTCTGTTATAAAATATTTAGAAGATCCAAAATGATTAATAAATCTCTCCGGCCAACGGGCCGGGTAAAAAGCTAGTATTTTGGATGCCGCTCACAGAAATTTGCATTTGCACAAGCACGTAAGTACAAACAAAACGTATATCGATCTATCAACAACACTATGCCATTCGTTTTGTCAATGGGGACTTCACTCAGAAGAACGGAAATCGAAGGAACAAACTCTGCAAGACATACAACACAGGCAAGTAAACTTCCCCCACACCGATAAAGCCATCAAACTTAGAAATTGATAACCAACAAGCCCTTGAAGAACAAGCATCTCGAAGCGTGCCAATTCAGTATCGTTCTCTCACAGGCCGAAAAAGCAGTTTCATGTGAAGGGCAATGCACTCTCCGGTATTTACCATCTCAAAGCTGATGATGTATCAGCGGTTTTCTGCTGATGTCGTGAAACATCCTGTCTGAAAAAAAATATGTCACCACTTTCTAGGAGGTGGTGTTGTACCTTTAGTGACGGCCTTCATACTTTGGGAGTCCCGGAAACAAACGAAATGGACGATTGTTTTCCCGTTGGGATAGACAGCAAACACACTTGTTCCGATCTTCTTGTTGCAAAGGGAGCACATGCTGTCGCTGCTGATCTTCACGACTGTTTTTCTATACTTGTACAGCTCGTCTTTTACCTGGTTCACCACATAATAGGCCATAGCTTAGTCAGTGGCCTTAATATGTTAACGGGCTTGATATATTCAACATTCTCAAGTGGTCATTTCGGGCTATACATATGGCATCAAGACAATTATATGTAGGATGTCATGTCATTGATACCTGCAGGTTCTCACTCTGTCTCAAACTCTTGATTACTGAAAGGTTCCGGTTCGCTTCACTTGATTTCCTCAGTAGAGGTCCAAGAAACGGCAGCAAGTTCTGCATAGAACAAAACAAAATTGAGTTAATCTACATTTCTCAGGCCTCGCATGAAGTAGAGGGCAGCTCTAAGCTTTAGGTATCCAAGAACATAGCTCCTTTCTGGTAAAATTGCTACCTGTAAGTTTGTTTGCCTGGGTAAAAGTCTGAGGGCTTGGGCACCATTTATTCGGTCCCACCTTTTGCTCAAGAGATCAAGCACCTCATCAAGCATTATGGTAGAACTGCCTTCCGGATTAATTTCGTCTGTATCACCATCGCTCTTGCTGCTATCAGTGCCACTTGGACTCATACGCAAGTCATCTGCAATTTCTATTGCAGCAATTTTCTTCGCTCCACGGCCACCTTTAGTCTTGGTTCCACTCACAGAACTGGCCTTAGGGATGCTGGTGCTCCGAGAAGCTACTATATTTGTGATTCGCTTCTCAAAGTTCTTGGTTGTCTTACTGGGATTAAGATAGATTTGTAGAAGCGTGAGGTATATACTGCCAGAATTTGTAGTAGAAGGTTGTGGAGTAGCAGACTCATAAATGCGATCACAGTAGGACAATGCCAGATCAGGTAGATGAAGCTGATACAGGGGAGAAAAGTAACTTTAGTTAGATCATGGACTGCAGTCAGAGAAATGGATGAACAAGTTTAGACGGTAAAAGACTTCAGTAATGATCAATATACTCAGCGAGAGAAACGATTACAACGAGGGCAAATGCTTATCTATAGCTTTTATGTGTAAGATAATCAGCCATTCACATAAATACCATCATTACCTTATGTACATAGAGGGATAAGGCAAGTTCATGCTGGTTCATCTTTCCTAATAAAACTGCACGTTCTTCATACAATGCATCAGGAGGAAGACGCTTTAATAAAGCCTCAGGGTTATATCCTGATATGCCTTCTAGAGCAGATAATAACTTTTTCCTCGTCGGGGAATGAGCCTTCTCGTCCCATTTCTTTTGGGCAGTTAATTCCGCATGCAAATCAAGAACTTCAGAGAGATAGATTTGCACCTGTGATAAATGACAGAGTGGCATTGAGTGATATGATTCAAAATTCAACCCAAGGTTACAATTTGTTTGGTCACGTCCGGTAAGAGCACACAAAGAAAAAATTATATCTACATACCAAAAGCAAGGGCAAGTTACCATTTCATTTTGCAGGTTTCCTGATATGGCACTTTCATTCATTGCGAGCATCAGTTCTAGATACCTTCCTTGCATGTTTGGAGCATGCTGCTTCAGATAAGAGTTGACCAAATCAGCAGGTATATTCCCAGATAAAAACAGCTCAATTGTTTGTGTTGGACACCTTTCGAGAATGATCATTGAGAACTCTAGAACAAGCATAGGATCTGTTCCACAGAGAGGCTGCATAAGAATCACCACGAAAAAGACTCCCTCAGATACTTTTAGCAAAAGAAGAGTACTACCTGCAACCAAAAGAAGAGTACTAACACCACGAAAAAGACTCCCACAGAGTAGAAATTAAAGATACCTTGAGATATTCTAGAATGTCCTCAGGCTTGAACTTATGCAAAACCTCAGATTGGCCTGAGCTTGACTCTTGGACTAATTGATGCAGAAGCTTCAGAGCTTCACGGTGCATGGCATTACTTCGATAAAGCTCCAGCAAAGCAGAATAGTGACGTCTCTTTTGAAGACTCTCCTCACATATTTTCAGATCACAATAATTATGGCCTCTGAGTAATTCTACAGCAGCTGAAGACTGTCCAGTAAGCAGAAGTGCTTGGAGTAGTGCAGTATCCAGGATAGCAGCAATTTCTCTAGCCCCTGAGTTAATGGCGACATTACCACGCCCCTAATCATAAACAGTGTCAGATCGTACGAGAAATCAAGTGGAACAGAAGCATCACATATAGTTACTTTTCTATTCAAAAGTGAACTTCCTACAGTCACCGTTATTGTCCTTCAAGAATATATATACAATTTATAGGCAATGTAGCTGTAATATATGTAAGTTGACTCCTCATTCAAAAGGATCGGTTTCTACCTTGCCAGACTTTTTGACCCTACTGGAGTCATAATGTCCGTAATTATCACCAACTGCACCTAAAACAACCTCCTCTGTCCCCTCGGCAGTAGCCTTTTCAATTACACTGTATCTGCGTTTCTGTAAGTATTTGATGAGAGCCATGAGAGTATTATGGCTCATCTTCTTGGACTCAAGTGCGGAATGCTCATCAAAATCGCCAAAATGTGAAGCAGATGAGGGATCCATATCATCTGATGCACCAGAAGAACCTCTTGACAGATGCATAGCATCTGGATAACTGTCCACTACCTTGTCCATTTCAGGAACCAAAGTTGTTTTGGGAAGAACTATTGACGGATACATAGAAAGTACATAGGTGATATCTACTTGGGAAGCTAAAAAGTGCTCCATAGCATCCTCATAACTCCCATTATCAAAAAGATGGTGGGCATATCTGTGGAAAGTGAAACCCCTATCAGCAACTTGTTTGAAGAAAAATCATAATAGGACTTCGAAGGAAAAATTACTAGAGTTTGGCTAATATTACATGCCACACAGAAAATCATACGTATAAAATGAAAATCCACTTGCTAGACCAAGCCTTATGATAGCGAAGAAACATATCAATTCATAGAAGTGAGAACTAAGTGATGCAAATAGTTCATCAGTCAATTTTGGTAAACATCTACCTTATATGAATGGATGCCTCCTTTGCAGCTCGAAGGCTTGCATCTTCTGGAGGAAGTAACTTGCACAATGCCAAAGCTTCTTCAAAATTTCCAGATGCTGTTAATTGCACGATCTGCACCATAGTCATAGTAAAATTTACTGAAGTGCAATGTCAAAGTATCAATCAAGTTTGTATGAGCTCTGAAAGTAAATACATAATCGAAAATGTCGAAGATGATCCAGCAGCGTCAACTTGATTCCAGAATTCAATAATCTTTCTTCCCTCTAGACTGTATTTTTTATACTCACCTACCAGTCATCACAACAATTAACCTAGAAACTACCAGTCAAGAATATTCTATACAAAAAACAAAGGGGTACAATATATACCTGTGCACCAACAGGAACAGGGAAGAGTCCATGCACAGAATTATCTAGCGCAACAATTACTGCATTATTGCTCTGAACAAGACGACGAACATTCTGAAGAACAATGGTCTGAATCATTGGGTATGGGACTCGAAGAGACCTTATCTGCATTCATTTTATAAAACATCGTCAGGAAGACCACCTCTGGACAGAAATAAAGACAGGAACTTCTCCGGCATAGTGGTCTAGGCAACTACCTCAACACGTCTTGGGAGCAGGGCAATAGCATACGGTTTCTGAATCACAACGACAGAGGGAGCTTCCGACCAACAAATCCTTTCAGCTTGATGAAGCTTGCCATTTTGGTCCACAAATACTCCAATATTCTCCTGTATCGTAAGTGATAACTTTTACCTGTCATTCACAGGTGATAACTGCAAACGATAACGGAAAGGAAGCAATTCATCGAACAGTTGGAGGGCACCTTGCCAAGAAGAAGTTCTCCCGAAGGAAGAGAGACGACCATAGGCGGAGCCAGTCTACCAGAAGGAAACACCTCGCTCAATGCACCACTAGTGGCGTTCAGTATCGCGTATTCCTTCTTAATTCCAATACATATGTTCTCGCCACACCAGGCCATCGACTTCACCGTGTCAGGCACTCCAAATTCTTTCACCTCCACGAATCCTCGTCCTGCTGAAGAACAACTCCCAAATTTCAGTTCAAGAAGAAGAAATGAAGCATCAGAATTGCAGCAGCAGCTCTGGAATAGAAAACGAGAGAACTCACCATCGTGGCGGATGATACAGACTCGCTTCTGCCTCGCGAAGCAGAGATAGCCTCTGCGATCATCCCAGGAGTAAACATTGGCGCCTTTGGCCTTGGTGATCACAGCGAAAGTCTCCAAATTAGGGAGGCGGTGGAAAGCGATCGACTCAGAGAGCGAGAGGAGCAGCTCCCGCGATGCCAGTACCTCCATTGACAACAGAGTCTTCTTGGAAAATCCGTTCACTGTCCTCTCCAGGGCGTATCCTTCCTTTCGAAGTTCTTGCACTTGGCCGAGGTAATCCGACGACGAAGAAGATCGATCGGATTCGGCGGCGTAGACTCGTAGCGCGCCATCGGTGCAGCCGAGGAAGAGCTTCGAAGCGTAGGACGCGACGGCATCGATTTTCGTCGGACAGCCTCGGAGGAGCTCAAAGGAATCATAGGCACTGTGCACCATATTTCCCTCCCGCTCTTCGCCTCCGCCTGATCTTCCCTTCTCCGATCACAATTTCATTGCAGACCGAAGCTAGACGCTCGTCGGTAAATGGGCCAACCCGGCCAGCTCAAATCCGCCCGAAGATCCATTTGCCGGACGCAGGAAAACGACGACGTGTTCGCCTCAAACAAATGGGACCCATCCAAGAGGCTTATGTGGCCAGAGTTGACCAGTCAACTTGACTCTCAAACCGGACAGATGAACCGTAGAACACGTGTCGGCCGTCGAATGGGCCCCGGAATCAGAAAACCCGACTGCGGCGGAGAATGTGTCCGTCAACTTGAGAAGTTGAGTAAAGTAGAAATGGTTGAGAAGTAAAGGGAAGCGAAGAGATCACCGGAGAACGAGAGAGACCGCAAGGAAGACGACGAAGAGGAGTTGAAGGAGAGAAAGAGATAAATGACTCTGGGTCTGATCAATGCGAACCCAATCGTCCACGCTAAAAAGGAAAGGGTCGCCCGATGCGAAGATTCCCACTGCTGCGACGCCGTCGATCCACTCGACATCTATGATATCCTTTCTTTGCTTTCCGTTTTTTTTTTTTTCTTGTGGGTTTTCCTTTGATTGAATGAACCGTGCAATTTTCTCTCTGTTTCTTTTTCTTCTTTCTTATGAACTGATTGGGGAACTGAAAATGGCGATCCTTGACTAAAGTTGGCAAATTTCGTGAGGGATATAAGAGATCCGGAGCACCCATATTCATTGGAGCAGCTCAGTGTATTGTCGGAGGAATCCATTTCAGTCGATGATAAGCTGGGCCGCATCCTGTGAGTCTTTTCTGCCTGCTGCTAATTGTATCAATGTGTGGAGAAGTTTTGATCACGATGTTGGATGAGTTTCTTCTTACTTAGAGCTGTATCGATTCGTTAAGCGGTTTCATTTGGGTAGTTTGGATTCAGACCTATCTGCTCTTTCCATGAATGTTTACTAGTTGTGAGTGAGTAATTGTGTCTGTCTTGGTGTTGTTCAATAGGATTACATTCACTCCAACCATACAGCATTGCAGCATGGCGACGGTAATTGGTCTGTGCCTTAGAGTGAAGTTACAAGAATGTTTCCCTCCTCATTACAAGGTCAGTTCCACGGATCTGTTGCAGATATTGGTATCTCAAGTTCGCTTTTGAGCTAGACCGTGATTCAGTTTCCTTGTTTCAGTGGGAATCCTGGAAGAATTTAGCTAGTTTGAAGCTATAATTTCACTTTGAGCAAGACCAAATTCTTTTTCTTGAACCATATAAAAGCAGCTATGCATTTGTTGTTACTTTTTCTGCAGGTTGACATAAAAGTTTCCCCTGGATCTCATGCGGATGAAGAAGCAGGTAAAGTTTCAATGTCTTCCATTTTTTCCTCTTCTGTGCTTGTTTTGGAACCCAGCATTAGCATGACTTCTTTGCAGTAACAATAAGGAAGTTGTTTCTCATAAACATGTCACGTTTCACATTCCCTTGAAAAATCAAAATTCACACACACATAGCTTAGTCTCCTATCAACTGTGGTGCTTGATATGAATTTAAGAACAAGGTGTCGTGATGATCTTCTCGCTCTTCCAAACTAGCATTGTCGCTTCAACATTTTGATATGTTCCTAGCCCCTTATTTCGCAGTTAATAAGCAGTTAAATGACAAGGAAAGAATTGCTGCAGCCTTAGAGAATCCTAATCTCCGCCAACTCGTTGATGAGTGTCTTTACTCCAATGAGCTGTGACCAAACAAGCATCCAGGGAGCTTACACTGCCTTTCAATGGCCGTTGTACAGAGTAACTCCTTTTGCTGAATTCTGATAAGTTGTAGCGTAGCGTAACTGTGGAGGGTGAATGCAGTTGAAGTTGTGGCTTAGTATAACTACCGAGCATGATACTGCTAAGTTGTAGCACCGTGTTTTAACTACTGGAGATGAATGCTGTTAAGTTGTGATGCAGTGCTTGTATCTTGCCTCTTCCTGGATTAATGCTTATAGAACTGCTAATCCGTACGTACAAAGACTGTGTAATGAATGGAGTTTCGTGTATCATAAGCTACTTCAGTCACTTAGACTATCTACGCTTTGGAGAATATCTTTTCGTGTTGCATAGCAGTCGAATCCTGCATCTCATTTCCAATAGTTAACTCACCCCCTTCACATTTTCGATAAGCAAGTGTTTGCTAGCCCTTTCTGGCTCGGAGTCAAAACTTCTCTCCCTTTCAGTAAGGTGAGATGCCAATTGTGTGCTTGAATGATGTCAAAGAGAGAATGATTGAGGTTTCATTTCTTTTCAATTGTTTCATTCTTACAATCCCAATAGGCAAGATGGAAATACATCAAGCAGCACAAGAGCATAGAGTCGAGGAATATGTTTTTTAGAGACAAACTGTGTTCTATCTGCATATAACAATAACTGTTAAACAAGTACATCAATTTAGACCGGTAATTCATAAACTCACTCACTAATAATAAATTAGATGAGGAAGTTCCCTTTCAGTTGCTTTTTTGTTCCGCCATTTTGGATTTCTCATAGGTAAGACTTGCTTGATATTCTATGATAGACAAAGCTATAGCTTCTAGCTGGCAGCTGGGGCCAGAGGCAATGGCTCTGGGGCGACCTGGTTGACAGCAAGACTGCTGGAAATGGGGACCGGCTTCTCATCCGATCCCCAGAACTTTGCAGTTCTTACATCGTCTTGAGCCATCAACCGAGAGAACTCGTCGTGATCATACTGCAACGTGGCCTTCCCGCCAAACTCTTTAGGAAGGTTGTCAGCGTCGAAGAGGGAGCTCATGAGCTCCACGCTCTCTTTCTTGTTCGGGTACACAAACTTCACCTTCTGTGAAGTTTTTGGATCCAAGAAGTATTTCACAGCCTAGTAGACAACAACAACAACAAAGCAAGTATTAAAAATTAAACGAAGATATCAATCACTATCTATGACCAATCACACAATTGACAGAGATGAGCAGGAGAGCAGATTTGACCTTCCAGAACGCTTCGAAAATCCTTGGCGGGCTGTACAGAAACGCAAGGGCGAGCCTCTCCGGGTAGTGATTCTGCAAAATGTTGATGATCTCACGAGCCGTTCGAATAGAGACACTGGTGTTCAAGGAAAACCCTGTGTAGTCAATCAACCACGACATCTGCTCTTGGCCTTCAGGAAAGTTGAGAATGCTGTTCTCGATGAGATATACCAAATGCCGGATGTTGTCCTCTGCACAGTTGGTGTTCTGCAATGCAGAAAGAAGAAATATATATACACTTTAGCAACAATCCCTTTTGTTTCAGTTTGCTGTACTCGGGGAGAGTTTAAGAATTGTAGCCTTGACACTAACCTGCATCCCAGGCCTCATTATCAGCACTGTCCTCCCAGCACGATCTCGGAAATTGGCTCGAAACACCTTACCCGTCTCCCCTTCGTGCGCTATTTCGTGCTGTGCAAGCAAACAAGGCATTCACAACATGTAATCCAACAACAAAGAAGAAACAAAAGAAATAGCTGAGACTCGTTGTCATGATTGCAGCTGCATACCCAGCGGGTTTGTTCAGGTTTATATGTGGCTCTCCACTTGAGAGTTTCCTCCAGCATTTTCGCAGCCTTGTCGACGTTCCAGTTCCTAGCTTCCAAGTACCTCCGCAGGCATCCATCTGTGCAGTACTTTGCTTTCCTGCCTGACAGAGGCCCTAAAGCAGTCCGTAGCTCATTCACCTATTCAAACAAGAGGGTAAAAAAAAAAACAGGGGAAATTGGATCATTACTAATCCAATCAACCACATGTTCAGGTTTTTTCAAATCGGACAAAAGGGCTCTAATTTACCTTAGCATCTCTCTGTGCAGGGTCAATCTCCTGAACATTCTGTTGCTTCCTTCGAAACATGATGGGCGGGCGGGGCAGCTCCACAAAGAATTGATCTTTCTGAAAAAGTCAGGAAAAAAACAAGCGCCATTCAAACATTTTCAGGGCTATGATTCTGCAGCTTCGCATTTCTCTTTTCTTTTTGAGTGGAAAAAAATGAAAATAAACAACTCGCCTCATCACGTGGATTTTGAAGTGTAAGCAGGGGAAAGTGAGGGGGAAAAAAAGTCTACGCAAGTGTGTTTTGATCTATCTAACTCTCCCGGGTTTCATCAGTAACATGTTCTCATGGTCGAATCGATGATTCTGATTTTCCGAGAAACCAAACGGGAAACATCCGGAAAAAAGATGAGGCCAGCCAGGAATATTCAAGTGGAATAAAAAAATAAAAAATAAAAAGAAGCTCTGTTTCACCTCCTGGACCGGTAAAAACGAATTAAGGCAGAGGAAATGAAATTCGTTACGCGATCACTGAGCTTACAAGGCTTGGAAACTAATTCGATCGGATCCAGATCTAAGAAGAAGAAAGATTCCAGGTGGATCACCGAATCAACGAAACAGGGATCGAATTGCCAGTGAATTATTCAACAAGCAACAGCCATGCAAATCCACACGGAGAGCAATCAAGAAGAAGATTGTTCGGACGAACCTTTTAACGAGGGAGGAGATGAGGAAAAAGCTGAGAGGAAATGATGTGATCGCTTCCTGGAGCACCGCTCGGGGAGGCGCTGTCTCTGTTTGACCGGCCAGATGGAGAAGCTAGCGGAGATCGGGTTTTACGGTGGTGTTGTGTATTTATTCCTTGTCGTCTGTCGCCGGAAATGTACGACTACCGATCGATAAACGCAACAGGAAATGGAAGAAAGAGAGAGAAAAGGCGAGAGAGTGAAAGGATGGGATGATGGAAGAATGAGAATGAGAATGAGGTGGGAGGTCTGACTTCTGAGAGAGAGGTGTTATAAAAATGGCGGAGCTCGTAAGCTGTTGGGGAAAGAAATGTACGTAAGCGAAGTGGCGGCCTCAGAGCGACTCTTTCTCTCGGTGGCAGAGAGTGGAATAATAAAATTCGGAAGTAATGGGTTGGTACTAGGGATGGCAATTATACTCATACCCATGGGTATTTTACTATCCAACCCAATTGGGTTGGGTATGAAATCCAAATATATGGATATGGGTAAAGTTTGATGGGTTTGTACCCATACCCATTTACTTTGGGTTGGGTTGGGTTTATAACAAATGGATTTGGGTTTGTACCCATGCCCAAATACAAATTACAGTTTGGTACCTAAACTTAATAGATATGCATATTTAGTACCTAAATTTTTTTTTTGCATATAAGTCCTCAAAATATCGATTGAAAATTACGTTTTGGTACCTAAATTTTTTTGGTCTTACATTTTGGTACCTAAAATTTTCAAATTTTACAAATAAGTTCAATTTTTGCATGTGTAGTTAAGACACCCTCAAGTAAATGGATATCCATATCCAACCCATACCCATTTAGATAATATCCATATCTAACCCAAACTCATATACAAACCCCAAACCCATACACACATCACCCAAACCCTACCCATAATAGATGGGTCTACTTGGGTTTGGGCAAAATTACCCATGGGTGGATAAATTGCCATCCCTAGTTGGTACAATTAGAGATTGCAATTTGAACCCGCTCCGTCGAGTAATACCCGATCTGATCCGCGATGGGGCGGGTATTACCCGACCCGCATTAGCATGGGACGGGGCATGGGTATTAACTTCCGACCCGCTCTGCCCCGCCACGCCCCATTTTTAGCCCGTTCTAGACTTCTAGGTCAATTTTTTACCCCATCCATTCATATATCTCATATTTTGGCTTTTATTCAACTAGTTAAACTTGATCTTTCAACTAAATAGACTCAATTACTTATTATATTATCACTATTATTCATTCATCAAGTCTTTTCCCCTTCGTTTTATCATAAAAAGTAAAATTGTGTGTGTATTTTTCTCAAATAGCATGTAAGAGTGGGTCGACCCGCCCTGCTCCATACCCGTGCGGGTATTACCCGCCCCGACCCGTACTAGCATTGGGCGGGGCATGGGTATTGAGGTACCCGCCCCGCCCAGACCCATTGCCATCACTAGGTACAATGTTGTCAAACCGGTTTATACCGTTGTGTCGGTTTGACAAATGGAATGATACAACCGGTGGTATAACCAGTTTGTGTTGGTTTATACCAGTTTTAAAAAAGTGTGAAAACAATTGACAACCATGGGTTGGTATCAAAGAAATTCGGCGTCGTTTTCTTTCATGGATGAAAGAAGGAGGGAAGTCGGGAGTTGGGTCTGTGAGCTCGACCGTTTTCTGCCTTTTGTTGTAGACCTGACAAATTACAACCCGACCCGTTGATCCGACCCGAAACTGCATGAAAAGTAGAAATTTTTATAACCCGAAATCCGAATGACCCGAACCCGATAACCCGTGATTTTTTTGGGTCGGGTTGGGTGGGTTAGTGGATCGACCCGTTAGACCCGTTCCATTTTATATATAACTCACATAATGATAAATTCACTAATAAATTGGTGAGATGTTAAAAAAACACAAGGATTTAAATGACATGTTTGGAGTTTAAGGATAATCAAATATCATGTGTTTCTTGTAGTTGTATTACTCTTGTGATTATTTTTGACGATTTGCGCAATTTGTATTTCATTTCATTAGCATGGAAGGATTTGAGAATATGTTAATTGACATGTGTTAGGTAAACTATTGTCATGCATATGCGAAACTTTGTGTTCTTTGAGAAAATATGAAGCATGTTTGATATTGTTTCTGAGAGCGCTCGTAACTCGAAACGACCTATAACCCAACCCCAAACCGAATGGGTTGAGTCAATATTTGACCCAAAATAATCCAACCAAACATGACCCGACCCGTAACCGAAGTCTCCAACCCGACCTGATTGCTGGGTCTATTTTGTTGTGCTCAGTTCAGGTTAGGAGGTCGTTATTAGAACCTAGCAGTAAAAAAAGACACTTTTTTCTCTCCCCTTCTGTTTGCAATTTATACGGAGGCGTTTTCTGCAATGATTGAAGTTGCCCTCTCCTCTTCCTCGTTACATGGTCTGTGTATACATCGATCAGCTCCGGTAACTTCTCACCTTTTTTTCGCTGATGATTCGTACTTATTTCTTCGTGCATCTGTTCCTGAATGCATGTGATACTTTATTACATTTGCTGCACGTTTATGAGGAAGCTAGCGGTCAACGTGTGAATTTGCAGAAGTCGTCTATTTGTTTTAGTGGTAACGTGCCAGGTCAGGAGGCTATGGAGCTTGCTGCTCGGCTGCGCGTCTCGTCGATTGGTGCCCTCGACAAATATTTAGGTCTTCCTTCACAGGTACACAGGTCGAAGGTTCTTACCTTCCAATACATAGAGGATGCGTTGGCTGCCCGTATTCAAGGATGGAGGTCGAAAGCTTTATTGTTAGCTGCAAAAGAGGTAGTCATTAAGGTATTGGTTCTGCAACTCCAGTGTATGCTATGTATTCGTTTCGGTTGCCCTCTACTACTTGTCGCAGGTTGAACAGTCAGCTTTCCCGATGTTGGTGGGCAAGTCAAGACAAGGAGGATGGAATGCACTGGATTTCCGTGATTTTGACCGTTTCAATGTGGCTATGCTCGCCATATCTGTTCAGTTCTATTTGGTTCAACTCGGTCGGTTTGGCTTGGTTTGTTACACAAACCAATTAACCGATTGCCCACTTATTACACCAAATCATCGAATTCGAGGCTGTGCCTTCCCATATCTTACCAACATGGGACTTTAAAAGATACTCTTTAGTCTTTCCTCTTTCATTCACATTCACACCATTAAAAATCCCAACAGTTTTGTAACTTAAAAGATCAATTTTAAAACACAAATATTTGACTTTAGAAGACAATTATTTAAATTTCTCTCTAAAACAAAGATACACTAAATATAAATATAAATATTGGAAAACATAATTTTGTGGAAGACAAATAATATGTCTATAGAGGCAAACAATATATATGTCGTGTATAATGTACTTATAGAGCCAAATAATAATATTTATAGAGACATAGTTTTTATTTTTTATTTATAAGAAGTTTTCGTGGCAAATATTGAATTTGTCTCAATACAATAGTCACTATAAATCAATTTCTTGGAGTGATAACATTTTAGTTAAATGCAATATTTTTGTTCATATTATTATATCGACAATACGAAAGATATATGTAGCACTATACTATGATATTACGTAATTTCAAATACGATATATAAACCTTATGGTGGGGGAGTTATTTCTTATATATCACTTAAACAAAATGTATTGCATGATTATTGTGTAACGGTTCGGTAAGTTTGAATGAAAATTTATTTATTACTAACTAAATTATTGATAAATATTCAAACACAAATGTTCTGTAAGGTAAGTTATTCTTTATATCTTAAACAAACATATGGTATATGTCTTTAATAATGATTAAAAGATATAATTAGTTTCTCAAACGCGGACAAAAAAAAAATAGTATGCATAAGCGAGTGAGACAAATCAATGACGACCCCCTTAGTCTACACAAGCTAATAAGGCATTTCCGTCCGTCCACGAATGTGTTCAAAATTGAAGTTCACCTGCACATGCATCAGAGGCATCAGCCGGCGCAAGCGTACCGACGCCGACGGCCGATCAATATTATGCGTTACGTGAAAAATTGAAACGCCCCCTTAAGTAAATTAATAAAAGCATTGACATGATTGAGCAAAAAAACCTATTTGGGTTCCGTCAGAGAATGGCAAGTTCCATAGGAAAAACTGATCGATCACCTTTATTATATAAAAAAAATCCACCCATGGTGTGAAAAATCAAGCGTATATCTCTCAGAACAGCCCCAAACCTCTACATATAGAGTGAAACCGGCTCTCCTGCCCGTGGACAAGCTAACACACATTGTGTCAGTGAACCACATAAATCGTGTGTCATCGTGTGCTTCTGGTTTTTTGTTTTCTTGCTTTGTCGATTCCATCGATCCATAACAGCGCAGTAATAACAATACGGGTTGAGTGACATGAAGCCATTTGCAGCCATAGTAGTAGTTTCTCTGGTAAGTTTGGGATATTGCTGCAGGACTCCAGTTCTCTCTACTGCAGCCCAAACAAACGACGACGAGGCGGATCCTAGTGGTACGGCCTGCAACGGCGAGGGACTGCCCAATACGCCGGAGCCATGGGATCTGGGGAAGGCGAACCTTCTCGACGACCTGTCATTCCACACATTCTCGCAGCCCTATTCCAGGTACTGGAACAACTTCACCTACGACGGCACTGCCTTGTTCTACGGCTACGCTTCCTGCGCGACGACGATGGTGTGCGGCGCTACGGCGGACACTAAAAAACAACACCGCTGTCCGACTGACAATCGACACTGCTCAGCCTGTCTCGCTGACGCCAAGTATTATCTCACGACAACCTGCGGCAACAAAATAGGGGGCCACGTCACGGAGAACTACAATGACGGTGTGCTGCTGCAGTGTTACATGCAGTACGAGCTCACCCGGTTTTGGTAACGGGGAGGGGGATAATAATGGCAAGCGGTCCCGTTGGAAAAAGATAACGGAGACTCTTTCCAATTTTCAAGGCGAGGAAAAGAAACACCGTAGATTCATATGACGCCAAAGATTTAACCCATAGTGTGTAGTGAGAAGCTAGCTCCTCATAGATACATGCAAGAAATTGAGTTTTGGAAATTGGGTTCTGTTTTTTCGGTGAGAAAACTTCTGTGATTCAATAAATGTACCTTTGGTTTTGACTCGCTCTAACTACGATTTTTCAATTGACGGCCAAGTATAATCGACGACTGGATGTAGGATAGGGTAAACAAGCAATAATAATTTATCGAACTACGGGGATTTAAGCTTATCTTA